GGGGTTAAATCAACACGCTGAGCTGTGACACAATTCTGATGCTCGTCGATACACTTGCACACACAATGGAAACAATATCTAAACAAACCAGCAACAACTATAGATGGTCATAAACTTACCGCTCAAAACCAAAGAAAAAGGAATTTCCCTTCACAAAAGGATTAGCTGTACTTTAACCCCAGCATTGTTAACTTGAAAGAAAGGTAAAAAATATTTTAGAGGAATCAGATGAAAAAGACAAAAAACAGACAATGAAAAGCTTTGTACCAGACATATAAATACCAAAAGAAGTTTACTATACTAATAAACAGAAGTCAATGGTTTAATCTAATGTTGCACTGGTTACAAGGCAAACTGCAGAAATAAGTCAAATATGTTACAAATATCATCAAATAACTTTCTAGCTCATACATCCAGGGTCTTCAGGACTAGATCATCCCCATTATATTATATCAAAATGCAGGAATGTATTATTTTCAGGTGCTATCAGAATCCATGCAAAATAAGAATTCCCTAAACTAAAATATTGCCATTGAATCCAATAAGAAAATGTTAATTGCTGAGATTTTGCTGTATATTGGACAGAAAAATTCAGAAAAATTCAAAGAATCTTTATTAGAACCAGTGTGAAAAATAGCTAATCTGGCAGATTAAGAGAATATTAGCTATCTTTTAATGATGATAATCAATCAGAAACATCCACAAATGGATCCATAACGAAAGCATTGTTGGTTTGCAGAAATGTTGCACAAAAAAAACAATTAATAAAATTTACAAAAACAGTAAACCCTTCTTTTATTGGTCTTTTATGTTTAGCTACACGTTTGAATGAATGTAAACCTCATCTCATTTGGATTTTGCAAAATTTCAGCATTTCCTTATACTATAAAACACTATTAATCTTATTATTTACTTGTAAATTCCTCAGATTGGTTAGTGTATGAACATATCTCCACATATGAGGCCACAGCTGCTAATATTACTCACACTGAACAAAGTTTGTTCTGAAGTTTACATTTCAGTGTTTATTTAGCCTGTCAAGCCTCCACCTTCAATGAGCAGCATGCTCGTTTTCCCACTTTCTGTTATTTGTGCATGATGCCTGTGTACACACACCATCAACGGGTGACTGATTTTAACTGGTGTGAAAATCAATCATACTTGTGCCAAAATAGAAGCAAAAAAACATGAATCAATAACTCCTACAGGGAAACCCCTTAAAACATGGAATAATGGTGGCAATAATTCACTTTCTCTAAGCAACAAATGCACAAAAACACAACCCCTGTCTCACAATACACCAAAGCTAACACACAGAGAACCCACAATGGATGAGAGGGTCTGTGTTTGCGTAGCTATTAGCAAGTGTTCTACTTAAAAACGTTTAAAACCGCCTGGTGCCATGAGGTATTTAGTATTATTGTACTTTTCTTACCATTTGCAACTTGACAAGAGCAACTGGCCAGCCGACGCCCAGTTTGGATGAGAATTAATTTAAATTAGTTATCTTAAAATGTTCATTGGACTACGAAATATGAAAGTGGTACATTCAAAAAGCTTCACTCCAAGGAATCACTGGCTCATTTTTAACACAATTCAGATTTGCTTTATTGGACAGGACACAAAAACAGTGTAAAAACAGGAATATGTTGGAATCTTTAGTTGATATGGGGCTGAGTGACTGTAAATTATCATACATTATTGCTTCATTTGTAGTAAAATAAGCATTAAAAACAACCAAAAGTAACAAAATACTGTCGGTTTTAACCTCCTGAGACCCGAGCTTTTATTTGGCATGCATTTTAGCTTTTTTTTTAAAGATATATGAGATACATTTTTAATTAAATGTTTTTACAATTTTGTTCTGACAGTCCCATTGACTTATTTACATTTTTTCTATTACACAATAAGAACATGATTGGATGGAAATGTATAAAACCATTTTACTTTAGATTTCAAACAGTGTCTGATAGCATCTGCTATGAGGTCAAAGCTGAAAGAAAAAAAGAAGTATCATGGTTAAGAGAGACAAAAATGCAACGTCCACTTATGAGGACACAGGGTCTCAGGAGGTTAAAGATAAGTTTGTATCTGTGTTCACACTATACTGGCAGCATGTTCTGTCTGTAAAAGCTTTCTTCCTCATTTCTTCCTGCAAATAAACATCTCTACAGTATGTAACTCCGTATAGCTGGAATATGTCACATTTTCTATAAAAAGTGTCTATTTAGCACCTAAATGTTCAGATGTAATGTGCAGCTCTTACCTTTCTGTTTGAATAGAGACGATTTAAGAGCGGCACATAGTGAGTGTGATTTCATGTTCGCTGGCCTGATAATGGGAAAAATATTTCATGTGCATTTGCCCATATTATATTTACCAGTTTCAGCATCTGAATTGGCCTTCCACAGTCTATTTCCAAAGTGGATGTTTTCCATAACCGCACGTACTGATCAGCTTCATTTGCTGTGAAATGAAACTGCAGCAGCTGTTTTTATCTTCTACAGACATTAATGAAAGCTTTTCATCCAGACAGAAAAGAGTTCACTGAATGGTTGACCTCATTGCTGAGACAGCAGGAAAATATCAGCGAATGAGCCGGCAGCATTAAGAGTCCATCTTTGCCCCGCCGGGTCAGTTTAGGAGGGAAAGTCTAAGTTAAGTCTATGAAACGTTCAACCTGGATGATGTGTTAAATCAGAGGTTATGATTTGAGACTATCAGGGATGTGTTCAGGCATTTAGCTCTATCTACTGTTCAAAGTATGAACTACAGGAAAGAAGCTCCCGGGTAGTTAGAGACCCCTCAGTTAATGACTGAACATCAAAGTTTCATGCAGTTTATTAGAAATGAGCATAAAGTCTCTTTGGTTGTAAAGAAAACTGAGTTGAGCCTGAAAGTGGGCTTTGACAACATGGATTTGGCCTTTACTTGATCACAGCGACCCAAAACTATGAGGATTAATCCAGTTTATTATTTCCAGCACAATAATAATATGTATATCTACTTTAATTCACTCACAATTCAACCTATTCCTGTCCAACTTATTCAATAAGAGCACCAAACAAAGCAAACTTTAGGCCTACTCCCTTAAAAAGGGAGAATCCCACTTTCTGGATATTAAAAGAACAAAAATGTAACATTATGTTTGGATTAATTTAATGCCAAAATGTGTAGCATGCTACATATAATTGGAGTTGTTTCAGTGAAGTACAACAAAAAAAAGGAGAAAAAAAAAGAGCTTATTTACACAGAGGCTGATATGAGCAGTTCAATATTTACAATTCAACACGTAATTCCACCCAGTTTTTTGTAATCAGCACTTTACTCACTCAGTGGGAAATTCAAAGAGCGATGAAAGGAGAAAAAAAGGGTTCAGCAAAGCAAATACTTTGGATGTTGATACAAAGCTGTAAAAAGGTATTTTGCTTAGAAGTTTGCTTAAAATATAAAAACATTTGGGATGTCCAGGTCTTTAAAAAGATATTCCAGCATCAAAAACAGAAAAAAACACACAATTCTAGCAGTCAACTTGTCTACTTCATTAAGCTATGATTAAATAGGAATTGCACCAGAAGAATGTGTGACATAAAGTAATATAAGGGCAAAATGTTCCAATGGTAGAACAGGTTTCCCCTTTTTCAGAGTTAAAGCCCATTGTTTTGTGTTTTACTCAAGAAAAAGAGAAAAAGTCCATCATCTGTGCAGCAGCTCAAGGCTTTCTGCGCCTGGAAAGGAAACAAAGAAATCCAAACATTAAAGAAGCTAATTTTAAGTCAATAACTGTGCACCTATATCCGCTTTACTTACTTTTGATACACGTAGCTTTTGCCTGCCACTGGAGCCTAAAGGGTGGAAACAGATAAGAAACAAAGTGTGAACAGCCATCAATTTCTTATTCAATCAAAAAAAAAAAAAAACAAGCACATTCTACAGATTAGAATAAGTGGAAGCTTAGTGTATTTCATTTTTAATTTTATTGTTAATCTTTTTAAATGAATTTTTTTTTTTTTTTTTATTTAAATTGAATTTTGTTTTTGAAAGAAAAGAAGCTTACGATATTTTCCGCGTCCTCTTTTCGGGTCGCTCCTTCTGCAGATCTCGATCGCCTCTTCCGACTTAAACAAAACAGACAAAAAGTTGTTATTAGCTCCAACTCTAAAGCAAACGGAAACAGAAATTCATGTGAAATGAAACCTTTCTGAAACATAAAATACATCCTTTTAATTCTCAATAAGAACTAATCAATACAAAGTTAGTCTTACATTTGTTTTTAATTAAAAAACGCTTCTCCACTCATCTACATCTAGATGTAGAAACTAAGATCGTATAAAATGGGGATCTGGAGGTGTTCAGCTGGAGACTGATTCTCCATATAATGCTATAGATGTACAGCAGGGGATAAGATGCTGCTGAATTGAGGCTGGAAATACTATAAATATTCCAACCTCAAGCTGAGTAGCTGGGTTTCCATTCACTGGAGTCACATGTGTCTCTAATAATCATATGTTTATGTTCATTATGTTTAATCATAAACAGATAGGAAATTCTTCCTTATGAGGAGAAGTCAGATAATTTCAGATGTCATTTTACACTAAAAGAGGACACATTTATAAATAAAGATGATTTTTGCAAATAAAATACTTAAAATACTACAAAATGTCACTTTAAGGAGCATGTAATTCCTGCTAGAACAAGAGAGAGAATTAGGCGTCATGTGACCACTAAACTCTTAACATTTCCTTGTGATGCTTATATTGTATATTATATGTTCTTTCTTATGCATTTGCCTGCCTAGGGACTACGGATGAAAACTAGCTTTGTAGCTATAATCCGGCATATTTACATTTGTTTTTGACTGATGTTCATTAATGTGCTTTGGCCCTATTCAAATAAATAAATAAATAAAATAATAAAGTCAGGCTTTATTAAAACAACATTATTAGAATTTTAGGTTCAGAAAATGAAAAAAACTAAAACAATAATACCTGGTAAAACTATCAATATGTCTGCTGAAACCTTAACACTTGCATTCTTTTACAGACGATTTCGTGGTGTATTTTTCCTGGGTTAATGCGGTACCTTGGTGCTGTTGGACACTCCTGCTTTAGTGTTTCGATGTCAGTAAACTGCACAGCCTGCCCTCCACCTCTGGTCTTAAAAACATTGCCCTGTAGAAGGAAAACTCAATCAGTTTCTCACTCAGAAACAGAGAGAGGCGTGTCCCCGGGCTAAATTAAACCGGAATTATGACAAATTTAAGAATTCATGCTCGAATAAAAAAAAAATAATCGGACATCTCAGATTAGACAGTTGTAGACAGTGTAGTTTTTTTTTTTTTTTTTTTACCTTAATCAGTTTGGTTTCGATCTCCCCGTCAGAGGCAAGCTCTTGATGCCGAAGCACATACTTGTGGCATTTCGACAGAGCTTTCTCGTTCGGGGTCGACACCTTGATCGCATTGGGAACGATTGGCTGCATTACAGTGTCTAGGTCCAAATTAGAGGGCGGTTTGTGGTCTACCCATTTGTCCCCGCCCGCGGAGCGCGAGCGCCTGTGCGTGGGCCGAACCGGAGGAGCCGTCTGGTGATCCCAAAGTGAGAAACACAAACCAGGAAGTCATTTAATCCAGACACCGTGTTCGATTCGTCGTGGTTAGTAGGCAGAGGCGGATCGCTGGTGTTAGTTTGTAGTGAAAATAAGCATCACTGGAAGCCAAAGGGATGAGGAAATTTCCAACTGGATGCACAGTTTATAGTCCTACTGATATAGAAATCCACAATGGAGGTGTAGTATTCCCATGTGGGTCCCAAAGACCAAATGAATGAATGAATGAATGAAATCAGGGCCTTCCAGTAATACTTATTTTCATGTGCTGATGACCTAGGGAGAGCATGCAAAAGGAGCAAAAACAGAGCAAAGGGGGGTGAAAAAGACGGTCCTTCAGCAAAAGCGGACAACTTAAAACCTTTGTCGTATTTTCAACTGATTTATAACCTGAAACCTCTAATCGTTATCAGTATGCAGATGCACACGGATCACATCAGAGATCCTTTAAAGGATTGATCTGCTGTTTTCTTTGGATCACTCTGCTGGTCGGAATACAAACCAGATGGTTGATCTGCTTAGCTTGAAACTCGGCAAATTGGTTTAGTTTGACGTGGTGCTTAAATAGCAGGATGAATAGAGTTAACAGGAGTAGTGTGGAGGTCAACGAGCAGGATTAAAGGGTCACGCAACAGTGATTAAAACAAATGTGAAAAAAAAAAAAACACCAGTCCTCGACTAGGGCCGTAATCAAACGTTAAAGTTTTGAAAAAGGCCAAACTGCTCCTATTAAACTATCACCAAAACAGACACCTGGGATTTAGCTGAATTTATCTTAGAGAAAGACTAGAAAAAAGATAAAGGATGAGAATATTGACACGCTGGAGTTTTCCAGCAGCGAAAAAACAAAAATTTAAACAAATAAACAAAAAAATATTCTAATTTAGCCCATCTGTGATCTTAACAAAACCCTCTCAAGTCTTCATAACAGCTCAGAATGTAAAAATATCTATAATTCAATACAGCTGTAGTGAGTGGACAGTTGTTTGAAGAAGTAGCCGATGGGATTTCTTACACTTTGACAGCAGTTTCTATCTATTCTATAGCATGGGAGTGAAGTTTCCTATCCTAGTTTCCATTGTATTATAAATCGGCTTTAAATAAATATCTGATTTAGTGTTTTTACTGCTTGCCGCTTTGTTTGGCTACAAGTTTTTCTTTTACTCATGTAAAAAGTACGTATTTTTGTCATTAAATAAAAAGAGATACTAAAGGCTTAAAGTGTAGTATTCAGGCATAAAAAAATAAGGACAAATAGAGAGAAATCAGAGGGGAATAAAAGCATAACAGAGCACTAAGCTACGATACTGATTCTACTGGATGCATTCCTACTGACAGCATTATGGGTGCAGTTCCTCATCACAAACAGACGCAAACTACAGTTTCAGAGAGAAGAACTAAGTACATCTAAGTGCTAACACACACTAACCCTTGTGCCTGCCTCAAGGTCTAGCCGATAGACTAGAGTGGCAGCGGGGGCCTCAGCGTCTGGAGCCCAGCGCTGGCCTCTCCTGCGCCCCACGCTGCTGTGGCCCGGGGCAGGGGTCCGAGTCCTGACCTGGGGGGTCCCTGGGTGGCTAACTGAGTCTACTGGGAACTTGTGCTCCCAATCAGAGATGCAGGAGGCTACTGAGGGATAGGAGGATGAAGAGGAAGAGGAGCAGGAGGGGGGGGAAGAAGGGCAAGGGTCCTGAACTGCTCTGATAGTGAACGGGTTAAGGTGGGAGGGAGTGTGGCTCATATCCTGCAAAGTGATGAGGGGAACGGGGCCAGGAAAGTGAATGTTAGTGGCCACAGGTCAACATAAAGACACAAGATTAATATTCATTAGAGACCAGATGATTTTCCCAAATATTAGAATCCCATCAATTAACTCATTGGCTGCCAAAGACGTCTATAGACATCTTTTATGTTTTTTAACGCGAGTGGCTTGGGGGACGATCGGCTAAAGTTTTTCCGTAAATATTGGCTTCAAGACAGAGTATGTAGTAACAAATTGACCCTCTAGGGGGCAGTGCCACTTTTGATGGGAGATGAGCATAGACTGTAGGCAAATAAGAAAAAGGTAACGGTTCGATATGAGAGAACATGTCGCCGGTGAGACGCAAGTCGAGGAAGAACGGAATAAGGTAGAAACACTATTTTTTTATCTGATTAAAGAAGAGAGTCTACTCTTTCTTTTGGTGTGTTCGGTGTTTACACAGTCATAGCACAAACTATTCTGTGGCTCTTGAAAAATCTGTCAAAATGCTCAAAAAACTCTGGCAGCATGGGACTCTGTTCTGAAAATGGCTGGCAGTCAATGAGTTAATATTCATTAGAGACCAGATGATTTTCCCAAATATTAGAATGCCATCAATTAACGGCATGCATATTTTCAGAAGCACACAGAGTGGTCTTTGATGGGAGAGGTGATGCCCGTGGAGGAATAGCTTACAGGAAGTGGCGATGGCGAGGCGGAGCGCTTCTGGGCCATGTTGCGATCCTTTTCTCTGGACGGGCGCTCGGGCTTCTGCGGCCGGTCGGAGGGAACCCCGCCGCTGCTCTCCGTCACTATGGCTTTGAGCTGCTTCAGCTTCTCATCCTTCACCCACAGCTTGTTCTGCAGCTCCAGCTGCTTGGCGTTAACGCGTCTCTCCTACAAAGAAAACAGACACCGATTAACCCTGTAATGGCCAAATGTATCATATTTGATACGTACGGTTTCTGAAATGTTTTGCGTCTGACACCTTTTGCATAATTTAATGGTAAAAACTTTGCTCAAAATCCTATTTTACACAATCAGATACACCTGATAACAGGGGGCAGAAGACTTAACAAAAAATAATCCTGACTTATCGCATAGTAATAAATTATTAATATTAAAATATATTTTTCTTTTTTTCTTTTTACATATTTCGTTAAAATGCCAAATAAGGAATTCAAACCAAAAAAAAGTAATTTTCTGTTTTGTTTCACTCTTGGATCTGGCTTTAAAGTGTAAAAAAAACAAATGTTTTTTTTAACCCCGAAAAGTCTTTGATAGCAGACATTATGCAAAAGAACAAAAATAACTTTTAATCATAAGGGTGCCATCAGATGGGATGACTGCAACAACTCTCATTCTAAATCTCTTTTTGACTAGAATTTATCCCCACATGCTCCATGTTTTTGATTAAAATATGTCTTCCTACTTAAACAGACTATTTAGATTTGAGATATTTGTCATAATAAATTGGTTAAAATCAATCTTTTGCTTTTAAATACACAAGAAGAAAGATTATATATCAAACTATTGATTTTGTCTTTCATCCATTTGCTAAACAGTCTACTATGCATCGCCAAATTCCATTTTTTAATACATTTTTTTAATCCTTCATGAACATTTTCACTGCTGTACACGTCACCTATCTGAATAACCTGCACTTATTATTTCTGAACCTTTTCAATGCGAACCTGCTTGCAATCATGAGAATTCTGATTTACCCGTTTTACCGACTGATATGCTTCATAACAAGTGAATTGCCATTTTTTGGTGATGAGAGGAAAAAAACAAACAAAGTACTAAACAGCCACTCACACATTCCTTCTCCCATTTGAGTTTGGTGTCGGTCACCATGCCCTGCATGCGCTGCTCCATGCGCCTCCTGTCGGAGAGCTCTTTGTGCAGCCGCTGCTCCCGGGTCTCCAGCTCCTGCTGCAGGGAGCGTTTGTCCTGCTCGTACATGTCTGTGGTTTTCTGCAGGATGTCGATCTGAGGAGGACCACCACAGAATGGGAGATGAGGTAAATAATCCAACAATCCAAACTAACCTTCATTTCTAAACGTGTATCCACGAGATGAAGACATTTTATAATACCTTGTATTCCAGCGTCTTGGATTTTTTCTCCAAACGTTCAATCTCTGTTTTCTGGCTGACGATGACTTTTTCTTTCTCACTCAGTTTGCTTTGTTGGTCATGGACGAAGGTGTCTTTAGCGCTGAGCTGACTGTCGAACCTCTGAAGCATGGTCTGCAGATGATTGGCTGTAAAGGAACACAGTGTAAACAAGCTTAAAAGCTCATACCATTAAACACATAAAATCACCACAATGATTCAGGAGCTACAAAAAAAAAAAAAACAAGAAAAAAATGCATCAGTAAATTGTTTTGGACGTAAAATAATTCCTGTACCAGTTTGATTGAACTGCTCGGTCATCATCTGGCGGATACGGTGGCGCCTTTCCAGGACTTCGATCAGGCGGGGCAGCGTCTGGTCATCTGCCGGGTCCAGCAGCTCACAGTGAGGCAAGGGCGGGAGGCTCTCAATCAGCTGCTCCAGCAGAGCTGGGTCATCTGACGCACAAATGAGAAACGACACGGTAAGGTTTGTGAAAGGTTTTGCTTTTCTTAGTAGGGTCATAAGAGGGGCTAGAACTGGTAAAAAAAAACAGGCCTGAGTCCAGCTGTGCATCAGTCTAAAAGCTTTTTTTTTTTTGTCTCACTGTCCCATCCAGATGCAAATAAGAGGAGGAGTTGACTCTCTCTAAACACAGACTTTCTGGTTTGATGAGGCTTGTTCCTCATAAACAGGATTAAGGCAGCATGTGTGTTAGTTGGTCTTATTCTGCTAACATCTGCGTGAAAGTCAACTGCATAAGACATCACGGGGCTATTAAATATTCTTTTAGCTAACTTCAAAGTAAAACTTTTTAGTTGAACTTAAATATACACACACAAAAAAAACTCTTAAAAGGTAAACAGAGAGTCAATAAAAAAAAAAAATTTTTTTTTTTTCTCTGTTTTGTTTTGTTTCTATATGTTCCTTTCTGTTGTATTAGGTTGTAATATACCCTTTTACCTTTATCGGACTACTGTATCTGTTTCTCTTTAAAATAATAAAAAAAGTTGTTCACAAAAAAAAAAAGAAGGTAAACAGAGAGCATGAAAAGAGCAAAGAAATACAGACTTAAAGGATATCTACCGGCATTACTTGGACCTCCTCTTTCCTCCAGGCGGCGTGACAGCTCATCTCTGAACGCCTGGTTTCTGTGCCGGCGCCCTGCTGGAAGGCTATAGATCGGCCTGTCAACGGGCCGAGCCACCTCCACCTCCTGGGTCATCTCTGCAAAGCGCATCACCAGCTGCAGGGCGCACGCGGGAAAAAAGTATCTTGATCACATGTCAATCGACAATTCTGCAATTATGAAACTCACCTATGACCATGGCTGTGTTGGAAAAGCATAAATGGATATTTAGGAGGCAGATTGTATATCTGGGACATAGAACGAGGCAACCAAACCAAAATTGTGCAGGAATACAATGAATAATGCAATTTGACTGAAAACAATCCAGTGTTAACAGAGTTATGGTTTTGTAAAGGATGATAAAAACAATGACATGAACCCACCATTGTTTCTTCATAATCGTCAGCTTTGGGATTGACACACACGATCATCCTAACTTTTCCCTCTCCGTCAAAGTAGTTTTTGAAGAGATGTGTAACTTTTGAGTCCCGGTACGGCACCATCTGTGAGACAATAAAGGCTCTGTGAGAGGGCACTGCTGGAATAAAGGCAGCTAAAGCCACAAAAGGTCACGTTAAAACAAAGAACAGCAGCTTTTTTACTTCCCGATGGCCCGATTATAAAAAAGCCAACCTTATTAGTTCCACACATCTGGTTCTCACGCAGGACTTCCATACAGGTGCGCAGAGTCATCAGAGACTGGTTAATATTACCTGAAAATGAGCCATTTAATGGAGACATTTAGTGGCTGAAATGTATTAAAATGTTTTGTTTCTGATGATTTCATTCAGATTCACTAAATCCTTCTAATCTATTTTGTCATTGTTGGAAACAAGTCCATAGAGAGGAATAAGCAGACCTGCTTCACGGAGCCGGCTTCCCTCCGCTCTGGTTCTGCTGGTGCGTTCACTGCCAGCCAGGTCCACCAGACACAGCTGGCTCACATTCACCTGGTTTTTGTCCTATTAAAGTAGATAACGGACAGCATTTATACAGCAGCTTTCTTAACTTATTCAACCTTTACCTTAGGCTTTTATCACCAAAGACATATGCACATCTTTTCAGTCTCGTATGTTTATCCAAATCTTTTTCACAGCTTCAAAGATTAAAAAAAAAAAAGATTTGACATCTTTAGAAGCTAAATTCTGAGCAGCAGATCACCTGCAGAATGTGGTCCCCGTCCGCGTCGAGTGGTGCCTGGGCCAGCTTCACTGTGAACACGCTGTGGGAGCGACTGGATTCACGGTTCAGCTGGGTGTTTGCTATCCTCCTTTTCTTTTGTCCTACACAAACATGAACAATGCAATGTGGGATATGAACAACATATTACATCAAAGCCCACCAAGATCCCAACAGTCCTGCTGGTTTAAGAAGTAAAGTCCTGATTCATTTATTATGGCCACTGGAAACTAAGCATTGATTGAATGCTTTAAAATAAATTAATAAAAAATAATAAAAAAAAATTAAAAAACCTAAATTGAACAATTCTTGGTTTCTATCATTAAAATAAAAAAAAATAAAAAAATCAGTTGATCAAAGGAAGTGAGAAAAGACACCCAAACAACACAGACTAAACCAAAACATCCCACCATATAACGATGGAGAGATAAATCACACTGCCTACCTTTCCAGAAGATTTCAAAAGCTTCTTCTGTAGATTTGACTTCAACTTCAGTGCAGCCAGCCACATACATGTTATGATTCTGGTCTTCACGAAGAATCTTGGATTGAGGCGGTCTGAAACGTGTGAAGACCAACGCTCAGCATCCAAACACCACAGCACAAGGGGCGTTTGCTTTGGTTAGACAAGCAGCTAAAGGTAAACACTTGACATTGGTGTTAGAACACATTCAGGGGAATACATGCAAACTGGGGTTTGCACAGAAGCACAAGCCATTCAGGAGCCTCTTTGGTCTGAACATTAACAACAATTGGGAGTCCAGCTTTAAAGCAAACAGCCACAAAGGAAGAGAGCCACATATCTGCTACTCTCGGGGGTATGGATTATGGGATGAACACGGACTGATGACCTGTAGGACGTATCTAAAAGCCAAAATACTGCCATGAATCAACAGAGCAGAGAGACTAACGCCGTTTAACTGTTCACATACACGAACTCTTTGCTCCGAACTTGTGTGCCTCCATCAAGCCACCTACCAAAAATGTGATTTCTGGTTTTAATAACATACAAAGCAACAAAGCAATTCATCTATTCACTGTAAAAACATTTAAAATGCTTGGATAGACAGCTTTTTACAAACATTCTAATTATTGTTCTGTTGTAAAGAGGCTGTAGACACAGCACAAAGAGCTCCAGTAAAATTTAAAATAAATTACTTTTACGCACAGAGATTTCTTCAACAGGACTGTTAAAGATATATATAGATAAATAACTAAAAAAACAAATGAATAAATAAAATAAATAAAAGCTTTGTTTTCCATTCCAGAGTCTTACTTTGGTCTGATTGGGTCAAAGGGAGCATCTTCCAGGAGGTCATAGATATAGTTGTTGTAGATCTCGATGTAGGACACAAACACGCTGTAAGAACAGTCTTCATCGATGCTCTCAGATTTGCACGCCTCCGCCGGGCTGATCATGTCTGCAAACTCTGGGTCAGCCTTCTGCCTAAAAACAAAAGCAAAGCAGGTCCATGAGCACATGTGACCATAAATCCATTCTGAATTACACCGAACAGGGAAACCAAACTACTGACAACTACCTGGAAGACGGCGTTTTGGGCACCGACTGCTGACTGTCTCGCTTCTGCCTCTCGAGGAGAGCGTCGACCTGGCCCTGGATTTCTATTCCATTTTTGTCATCGGGTTTCAACACCTGAGGGAGATTCAAAACATTTCAAACAGAAGTCTTATACCCTTCATTCCTTTAAAAAAATAAAATAAAAAAAGAGTTCATGAAAGTCTTACAAATCTTTTGGCCTGAAAAGGGCCGATGCTGTTGAAAAGCATGTCCAGAGAACGTGGGAGGAGGCCACCTTCTCCCGGTGAGCCTGTCATGGTGAAGGTTTTACCACTTCCAGTAACGCCATATGTAAAGAGCAGACCTGTGAATGCAATCAGAGCACCACATTATAAAGGTTAAAGATATATAATCTCTCCAGGGCACAACTGGAGCGCTCTTTTTGAATAGGTTGCAGCTAATTAAATAAATTATTTTCCCCACATCAGCTGCTTTCACTTCATTCTTCTCACCTATAACTTTTAGCTCATGAGCCAAACCATGTAAGAGATACTGGTTTCATGATCTCAAAGAACAAAAACAACATTAAAATGACAACTTTAAAATCTTTGACACTGTCCTTTAGATATCAATCAATTAGCAGAGCCTAGATCAAACAAATGTTCTGAGCAGCTCAAAAACATTTAATCCTCTTACCGTTTTTACAGTGAATGAGGTCTTCCACCAGAGGCTTGGCCACATCCTCAAATAGCTCCATTTGCGTGGTGTTAATACCAAACACTTTTTTAAAGGAGTACTGTGTCTAAAAGATCAACAAATATGAGAACATGCGCAGAGTTAGTTTGTGGAAAAATATGCAATGTAGACTATCAAACTTACTTGGGGGCGGCACACTTACCTCCTTGTATTCCCCATTACGGTTGGCTTTCAGGCCATCAGGAGCATGCAGCTGAATCGTGGAGCTGCTGATCATCTCAATACAGCACTCCTCATCTTCAGTACCAAGTGGACGGATACGGCAGTAAACCTGGAGGAGTTGTAGTTTGAGATCAGTTCCAAGTGACTTAAAAAGACTTCACCATAAGGAAGGGCTGCTTGATTTATTTTTTAAATTCGCACAGTTTTCATCTAAAACAAGCTAACAAAAAACAGCACTTCATTAAGTTGTGAACTCTTTTCACCATATAGGCCATATATGGCAATTATGTAAACAACAAAACAACAATTTCCAAAAATGTAGCTTTGTAAATAAGCTACATTTTAGTCAATTTTCTTTTGAACTGCTATGTAAGGGATCATAACATCTACTGGTGACTTTTTTGTTACACATGTAACCTAATGGCTGGAGCTTTCATTTGAACATCTCAAACATTTATACAACATTAGAGACTTATCACATTATGCACCTAAAATTGAACTTTTTTTTTTTCCTGTGAATGAATGGCCCTGTTGTTTCTGTCTGATGACTAACGAGTAAATCATGCCTACTTACTCCCACTGGATCCTTCTCTATGCTGGATGCCTTTTTCGGCCCAGGCTTCCGTGGAGTCTTCCCTTTGCTGCAACATAGAAAAATATTAATGTATACATAACTTAGCAAATCGTACGTTTATACGAACAGCAAATATGTTTTTGAGACGGGTAACTTTCAGTTCATCAGAAAGGATTATTAAGGTTTTCAAAACCCAAATAAAGATTATATCAACGTTGACATATCTACAATGCTATAGGCTTGTGGTGGACACTTCATTGTAGTATATTCTTTAACCCGTATCGGAGTTAATCTCGTATATTTTCAGTTAAGCTAACTTGATAGCTAACTAGGTTTTGTTAGTTTGCTACATAGCAATAAGCTAGCCCGTCATAGCTAACCTGTCACAATACTCTGACAATTATAACTCACTACGAAACCCTATAATTCGTATAACATTAGAGTAATTCTAACATTGCCTGTGAGTTTTATACATGTTAGCTAAAAGAAAAAGACAATACTGACCCTGCCCTCTGCATTGTTTTTGTTTAATCGCTCCTCTCAGCCACCCGTAGAAGCGCCGCTTCTTCTGGATTTGAAAATTCCCTCTAGTGACACGTCATTCAGATAGTCAAATATATCAACCAATCATAACGCAGAGTACCCGGAAGCGGAAGTCCCGCCTTCGCTTCCGTTAATGTCTCCTGCCAAATTGATAGCACAGATTTGTAGGGTTTTTTTGTTACGAACTTTGATTGTTTTAATCAAGGGGAAATTTTAATCCTTCCCATTGTAATCAGCTGTGAAACATCTTTTTGCTAAACATGTTTTATAAAGTAAAATTACTTCGACAGTTATGGGATCTACATTTAGAGGCCAACTTTATTTCTAGATATTTAGCACTTGTATTTTGTTTGTGTATTTTCATGATTATTTTTCCTTGAAATCCGCTACATGTTTTCTTAATGAATGAGAACATTTTATAGTGCGTTTATCTTCATTATAATTTAATCTTTAAAAAAAAAAAATATATATATATTTAATACTGCAATACTTGCCTGTCTTCAAATGTTCTACAAACATACTGTCATTTAATGAGTTTAAATGTTCATCCTAATGTTAAATAAAAGGTTTAATCTAAACAAAACATCATAGAAAATTAATGCTTAACACTTAAACTGCATAAAAGGTGAACAGAATGAACAAAGCACAGCTTTGGTTTAAAGTTTATTTGAAAAATCTTTAATAAATAATTGTATACTAAAATACCTTTCATGTCAAGCATTATTCAGTTCTAGACACATTACTCATATAACGGAAATAAATTAATCTTAAACAACAAACCCAGATTAGAATACGCAATCAGTAACAGATCTTTTAAGTTATGAGGTATTTACTCTGCTGGTTATTTGGTGTCTGTCACAACCGAATAGTGCAATTCAAAAAGGGCCGAGTGCAGCTACAGTTATGAATATGAGACGGCACAGTGCCTCAATTCATTCCTAAAGTTAAAAACTAAAGGGGAAATATGTACATGGAAACCTTTTTGTTCTGGACAGTCTCTTCACACACCACATCAGTGGAAATCAGAAAACTCAGCATAGAAATATCTTAATAAATATAAAAGCACCAGCCTGCCCCTTGTCTAGCTTTCCTTTGAAACTCTTAAATTCATAACGCATTGAGTCAAATAATTCTTTGTTACTTTTCTAAAGAGAGGAACGTCTTTGTGCAGCTTGTACATTTCTTTCCTGCGGTTTTTCAACACATTAAACAGCTGCCATCAGAAGGATTTCTGAACTATGACCTTAATTTGTGTGAACACAGTAGTTTTGCATTGTCACAATGCGCTCCTTTAATTCATCTGTTACTCGTGGAGCCGATTTTCAGTGGCAGGAGCAGAGTGTGGCCGAGGCTTTCTTTGTGTCTGTGGCTTGTTTCCTCTCTTGGCACGCCGGGGCAGAGATGAGAGGAATGCTGAAGAGTGCGATGATGATCAAATTCACCACCACGCAGAGCAGAGCCGGACCCAGCGAGTTGGCAAAAGAGATGGGAATGGAGTTTGAAGCCAGCCAGGGCCGACGCGTCGCCATGTCTTGCTCCAGGGCCTTCATCTGGAAGTGCGTGCCCAGGATGGCGCACACGTGGAAGAGCTGATGGCTGTGACCTGCAGAGGGAGCAGTCCGGCCACAAACGTCAGCACAAACAGGACAAATGAACCATCGCCTCTACCGCAGAGCAAATATTCACATTGGCGCAAATCCAGAAGTGGTTAGGCATTAGCATACCTTCACAATGTGCAACAAAAAAAAGATAGAATACATTTTAATGAGTCAGCCAGTGTTTCAAACATGGTGAAAATCTATTTGTGGTGTAAGATCTAAAACTTTGCTTTGGACTCGAGCTGCAAAACAACTATGACACCAAATGTGATTTTTGCAGTAGATGCTCCTTAATGCATGACAGAGAATTTAAATCGTAGAATCTAATCTACTACTGCTCATGCAAGATACAGTATCACTGCCAATACATATACAAACATGTCAGCACGTGGAATATCTTATTTTTTATTTTGATGATCTTATCTTGCTTAGCTTTCAAACTGCATATACGGAGACACCTTTTTGTTCTTTAGTAAATTTTTGGTTAGAAATAAGCATGTCGTTTAAGGAAATATTTTCTGTGATAAAAGGCTACATGTATGATTTAATCTATTTTTACCTTCTTTTTTTTAACCAACATCATAGCAAACTTTGACAACATAATCTATTTAATTCCAGCTGAACACAGAAATGTGTAGAATCAGCAATAAAAAGTGCAAGAGAGGCCAATATTAATAAGTTATGAAGGCAATTTCTGTCGTCAAAAAACACATTTTTAACTTGTTTTTCTCACAAAGTCTGGCCCTTTAGCTAATAAATCCTTAATCGTCTTTTTGTTTTTGCAGAAACACACCTGCTGTGAGTAAAAAAACAGAAGTGAGAGCAATGAGAACATGCACATCGTGTCTGATAAACACAAAGGGAAAAAAGCACAGCAGGGTGAGAGCTGAGGGAATCGGCAGGGTGGGGGGTAAAGCTCTCTGGGGACCAACTCGGCGAAGGAGTCGCTTCTTGAACTGTTAACAACAAGTACAATCACCGTCATTCACACGAGTCGTACCTATGTAGTCAAAGCTGCCGGGTGCCAGACGCTCAGGTAAATGTGTGGCAAAGAGAAAACCCGTCAGGAAAGCCAGGGAGATGTGGTTGTAGTGGAGGATGTTGGCGTCGTTGTCTGTGCAGCCCTCTCCTGCACACAGGAACACCTGAGAATGCACCAATCACAGGTCAGCTCAGCCACATTTCAAAGGAGAACGGACATGGAGAATGCAGAACAGCTTTGTGGTCAGTTAGGTTTTGTTTAAATTAAACCATAAAACTACATGAAGCAAACTTAAATATGCATATTTTTTTAATATCAAATTTTTTCACGGCTGAATCCTTTTGTAGAGCCAAAGGCATATTGTACCTTACATTTTTAAATTATTTCCTGGTAATGTCGATTAACAATGTTTTCTCATTTTAAAAGCATGTTAAGGAAAGCGTTGTTTGTTGTCATTGTGCTGCAGTCACATAACCGCCTTCAGCAAAAAGATGACACAGGAAATGTTCTGGTCAATTATGCTCCTGAACACTTTAATGATTTGCATTCTGACTTATTAATGTGACGTCTAATTGATGAGACTCAGAATATTGTTACAAAAGTCAGTGAAACATTATCTGTAAATTGTTGTTCATACCACTAAAAGCAGTGGATCACAGCTCTCGAGTTAAAATGATATAGTCGATTAATGGAAAAATAGTTTCTACAATCCTTCTAGCTAAATCCAGCCATGGGTTTTGAATAAAAATAACTTGATAGCTTGTGAAAATCATGTTAGCAACCCAAGCTGACTTTGGTTTTACCAGCTTGGCTGTATATTTGATGCCTACGTTTTGGTGCCAATGTCGAGGCAGAAGCAAATATCTGGAGTTTTCTAGTTGGAAGACATGTAGAGGGAATATCTGTCTGCATACTGAGGGTAGTTCCACTAGATGAGCAGTATATGGTGAAGTTTAAGCACACAGCTCGGTAGATTACTCTAATAATCATGGATGGCTCTTCTTCCTGAATCATCTTAATGTAGCACATTGTGTGACTCATAATATTTGTAGCTCTTGTAAATCACAAAAATCTGTTTATTCCCACCTCCTTCAAACAGCTCAAAGAGCAAGTGGTTTTCTCAGACTATATCGTTTTAGAAGGTGAGATAAAAAAAAGAAAAAAAAAAAATCAGACAAAACAAAAATTTACAATAGAAAACTTTAGTAACTTAAAAAAAGACAGAAAACCTCCACAGGTAAATTTGTTCTCTGACCATTGTTCCAATATTATTGTATAGTTAATTCTCCCTCTTCTCTCCAAAACTGCTTTGGATAAAAGCATCTGCTAAATATAGAACTGTGAATGTAGATGTTTTCTTTCTGAAAACTGAGTGTAAGACAGACATTAGGGTGCCAGGTGTGGGTTGGTGGCCCTACCCTGTAGAACAGAGGAATGTTGTCGAACAGGTACGGGTAGGCAAAGGCAACAACCCGCAGAGGTTTGCTGAACTTTGGGCTCTGACACTCAGGGAATCTGAAATTGAAAGAGAAAAATATAGATTTTTCCAAGAAGATGACATTGAGTTGTAAATGTGAGTATCTATAAAGACAAAGCTCAGTGTCATCATGACTTGTACAAGAAAAAGAAACATTACATAGAAACACAAAGAGATAAGGCTGAACTCCAGTCTCTTGTTTGAAAATTACACAATAGCATAATCATTTTAAACAAATGGAGTTATCATTAACAAAGAGTACAGAAACAGATTAATGTTAATAAATGTAAATAGAGTTAAATCTATGAAGTAGGTTCTAATCTCTTCCAGCTGCATATTTCCAAATATCTTATAGCACTAGATTAGTTCAATCTGAAGTCAGTCTGACATAAAGTGCTGCTTCTCTTTACGTCAGCAGCTCAAACTGGCCGGGCAGACACTAAAGGCCAGGAGATGTTTTGGGTGGGTCTCCTCGTTCTCTGTGAGGCAACACCCATTGCATTAAAAAGCAACTTTGCTCAACAACACCTTTGTTTTCACTTCTAAAAATCTCCGAAGGCTGCAATTCAATTGAAAAGTCAATACATAATGCTAAAAATAACATCTTATTCTTTATAGGAGGACGTTTCCCATATGAATCACACTTTGACACACCAAGAAAAAAATGAGGACAGAACCAGAAAGATCAGATTTTTATCCACCAGCAAATTAATTTTCCTTACCTTTTTACAACATCATGATTGTAGTGTAGAAATGGTACACCAAGCCTGAACAGTAGGAAGAAATGAATGAATGCCAAACCAGCATTATCCAGGCAATGAGAAAACAAATGACTTGTCTACGTTTTAAAAGAAAGACATTGAACAGTGGCTCAGAAATGACAATAACAGCCTCTAAACTAAGCTTTAGTATAGTAAAAGACATTTTGGAATAGAAATAAATACATTGTTTACTTTAAAAAAAAAAAAGTAAACTATGTAAAAAAATTTTTTTTAAAAATAGTAAACTAAAAGTAAACCATGGAAGGTTATGTGGTAAATACATTTCCGTCCAAAAAACATCCAGGTTTAAGTTAAATTTAGATTTCTATGCTTCTTAATGCTCTCTTAAAAACACATTTCCATGTTTCTTAACAGTTATCTAAAATTATTCTGTTTTTGTAATCATGCAATGATTTTATGAGACACATGAGGAAATTGAGCACAGGTGGAGGTCCCCGCAGTTGGAAGCCAGCTAGAAAAAGACCATATATGTATACTTATTCCTTTTTTAAAGGACTGGTCGTGTTCTGTGGGTTAGAAATGGGTTTGTCAGCGTACCTGGAGTAGCAGGCCAGGGCGGTGCACACGACAGTGTTTAACACGGCCATGGGGACGTAACACCGATGAAAGGAGCTGTTCACCCATTTGTCGGGGAAAACGTAGCCCGAATAAACGACTGCTGACCCTACAGGACAAAAACAGAAACCAAACAAGATTTTTAAAAAGCGTACGAAAATAAATTCAGTTTGCATTTAACCCTGTAATGCACAATCATATTTGATTCATACGGTTTCTGAAATGTTTTGCGTCTGACACCTTTTGCATAATTTAATGGTTAAAACTTTGCTCAAAATCCCGTTGTACACAATCAGATACACCTGAAAACAGGGGGTAGAAGACTACACAAAAAATAATCTTGACCCATCACATAGTAATAAATTATTAATATAAAAAATATATTTCTGTTTTTTCTTTTTGCATATTTTGTTAAAAGGCCAAATAAAGACTTAAAACAAAAAAAAAGTGATTTTTTGTTTCGTTTTATTCTCGGATCAGGCTTTAAAGGGTTAAAATGAAGACATCCCACTGATCTTAGTTGATCCTCGTTTTAAAAGAAAGTCGATTCTCTCAGTTGATCCTCACGATATTCTAAAGGTTTGTGGGAGGATGTGCATGCCGAAGTACAGTATCTCCTCTTTTGTCATGCTTTCATCAACAGACACCTCTCTTTAGGAATGCTGTCCAAACTGACAGCATTCCTAAAAGACATTCCCGTTTCTCGCTAAAGCCGTTTTGCACCACATCTGGCCGAGTTACTGTCAAGATTGCTTTCAAGTTTAGGCCACAAAGCAGAAAGCGGCTCAGAGTTATCGTCAGAACCAGCTCCAGAGAGCCTCTTTTTTACAGAAAAGATGGTTTTTTTCTCACCCAGGCTGTAGAAGCTGAGCGCCCCGTAGTCGAAGAAGAAGCAGATGTGGCGCGCCCGCGCCGACATGCTGCTGAAGGTGTGGGCGCAGCTGGAGGCCAGCGGGTAAACGCAGCAGGACAGGAGGAAGACCACCAGGGGCCAGGTGAAGGGGTCCTGCCAGGCCGTCTGCATCAGGACCACGCTGGCCAGCTTCCACAGGAAGTACCTGCAAGCAGGGAGACCCTTCAGCCAGAAGACACAACTCAGGAGAATCCATAGCGAAAAAAGAAAAAAACAAAGAAAAAAACATAGCAAACTAACAAAAAAAAAGGGTTAAATGTTTCATTCCTAATGAACGTCTTTCGTAAAGGACAGAACACAGTTACCGGTCCTCAGTGTGTGTAGTGTACAGCCAAACACAGGCTCACTTTTCTCATGTAATAATTGATCAGGTGTAATACTTTTGTCTTACTCGTTATATCCTTTTTGTTCATCTTTAAGCTATGGGATGATTTAGTTTTCCAGAGAACCAGAATTTTTTTTTTAAAGTTTGCAAAATGTCAAATATAATCTGGATTATTAGTTATTAGACTGCTGGTAAAAAGGTGTAACTCCTAACAAAACATCAGGTCATTTTCGTCCTGAACATTTTTGCTTGTGAAGTCTTTAAAAAGTATCATCCAATTAGACCAAGTCTTTAAAAGTCTTTAAAAAGTATCATCCAATTAGACTAGTGATAAAAAGTGATAGAAAGTGGTAAAAAGGTGTAACTCCTAACAAAACATCATGTCATTTTAGTCCTAAACATTTTTGCTTGTGAAGTCTTTAAAGTATCATCCAATAGGCCAATCACAAAGGTTTCCAAAAGCAGATATTTAACAAGGAACACGAAAAAGCTCAGAGCAAGAAGAAATTCAGAGCAAGAAGAAAAAGCTCCTTACTGTGAGGTGACAGAACAATGATTCATGATAAATAATCAGCAAAACTACAATATATGCATCAATAGAAAAGACTCATTGTGACTTAGACTTATGGTCTCATTCAGGAGTGTGTCCTTGGTCTAAACATCTCAGAGGTGGTGAGTAGTTAGCTAATAGCAATATGCATGAAAGCCCGGAGCACAGATCTGCTCATTAGTGCCCGGCCTTTAGCTCTACGCTCAGCCCCCAGACACAAACACTCACGTTCCCTCAGCATACTCCAAACACACACACACACACACACACACACACTTTTCCCCGGACGCTGAAGTCAAAGCAACCAGCGTCCGGGGGGAGGAAGCACAGAGTGGCCGGAGGGAGCAGAAAAAACTTCTGCAGTAACTTTAAAAAACCTCCCGTCCACACGTGGAAACGCATGCCGGCATTTGGACGCAAAAAAGTAATGCCTCCATGTTCTGATGTCAAACAAATACAGAAGAGGAGACAAAAACATAGATGCCAGATCGATTTAGAAAGAGAACCTCTGTGCTGAGATACTCTGTGGAACAAACTGCCTCATAACATCTCGACTGCTACTACGAAAGGTGCATTTAAAACACTTCTAAAAAAAATATTTTGTCGAAAGCCTTAATTCATGAATATTTGTGTAACAGATTGTAATGCAAGGTGAAATCATTTGAAATGTATAATTGTTCTTGTGATGTTATCATTTGATACGTTTTGTGTATCTATATCATTTTAAATAGGACCACAGGAAGAGTAGCTGTCAAATTACTGATTTACTAATGGGGATCCAAACAAATAAACAACAATAAACAATAAATACTCCAGATCTCTTTGGGTCTAAACTCAGTGTAAGAATGACTACCCTCAATCTGGAACTGAGTTTAGGGGTGTCCAAGTTATCTGAGGAACCAAATTAGCCTGGTAGACCAATCCTGACATGTTTTGAATTTGGGGAAAAAAAACGAAAAAAAAACAACACACAATTAAACTGAACTTTTCTGGTCAATACCCAGGTCACACTGAACCCTGTAATGTGAATATGTGGCATGAACTGTATAACCAGAGCGATTTCTATTTAAGCCTGAGGCGTGTGTGTGAGGGAACCAGTGTGAGGCAGCGGGAGGTCTGTGGGATCCTACGTGTTGCTGGGATGTTGATTTCACAACAAACCTGCCTGTGTATTCACTTCCTCTCGTATTACAGCGATTCCGATTCCAGTGTTTTGGCTTTAGACTTTTGTTGAGATGAGAAACAAACAAGTCTTTTTGGTTTATGAATACCTAAAACTAACCCTAACCACTCAAAGTGACAGTGTCAGCTTTTAGAGACAAATATCAAACAGAAACTCAGATATTACTATTAACATATTCAGATTTGAGAATTTTGGCTGAGGGATTTCCTGCATTAGTAAAAAAAAAAGATAAATAAAGATGTAAAGTGGGATCTGTTTAAACCATAAAAAGTAGATTCATGATCATAAAGACCTACTGCGATCCATGAGGGACAGCTGAAAAGTGAAACAAAACTGAATAATGATTTGCCTTTCCGCATTGTAGGTCTGTCAGCAAAACTACACGCAGTGCAAGATTCCTTTCTGGAAACATTCAAGACTTTCTGGATGGTTCTGCTTGTTACATAACCAACGTTTCCTTGTGCAAAAAGGAGGTATGGGATTAAAAAAAAAAAAAACACAAAAACAAACCCCCTTACATTGTTCATCACGGATTGAATTTTTACCGTTTGTCGTCCCACCAATGAGCAGTGAGGACAAAAAAACACACACAGTTTACACACATCTGTCAGCTTACCAGGTGGGCAGAAAGTGCGTCCAGATGTTGAGCGTCTCATTGGTCAGCTGAAAGAGGCTGAGGATGCAGTCTGTCGCTGAACTCCGAGGGTGCCGGTACCCCGAAATGATGCTGTCTTCATGGAAAACCTGAAGAGAGAGAAACCTGGTTACACAGACAAATTTGACTTTTTTGGCTGTGCTTTCTCATCCTAAAGGCAAAACAAACCCAACAATACTGGTCCCAACACGATCAATGTGTGTCAGAGATAAACAAATGATAAAAAACTGTTGGATATTTAGAGATTTTTATGTCGATAAACTACCCAAAAGCTGCAAAAAGTTCCAGAAAAGATGGAATTTGGGGAAAAGAAATGGCTCTTTCTCATGTTGTGGATACATTACAGCATCCAAAGCTACAGCTAAAGTCAAATAATGGCACGTTTCCGGCTCAGACGTGTTACTTTACTTACTTTGGGCACCTGATTGATGGTGAAGACTCGCGGCAGTTTGATGAGGCTGAGCATGGCTTCGCCCAGGTGCTGGTGCTCTGTGAGGAGGAGAGCTGAACTCAGCCTCAGACACGGAGCGCCCGCGTCTTTATAGGCCCGCGTTGCCATGCCTCACAGTTCCACCCCTTCATCTCCTCCCTTTTCAAACCCGGCGAGAATATCCAGAATATCCGCCCCCTCCTTCCACCGCTTCCACCTGTGGAAGGTGTTTGTTTGTTTGGCAACAAGAAGAAAAATGATTCATTTGACTTTTTCCTCTATTAAGTAAAGATAACCTTAAAACAACCAACTGTAACACTACTTTTCTAACATATCCACATCGTGGCCAAAAGAGCAAAAAAGAAAAGGATAAATAAACAAAAACAAAAGTTCTTCTTGCGGTGACGTAATTCAGTCGACACCCGGATGACAACCCCGGCCTGTAGGACAGGTTTCTCTCCTCAATAACAAAAGCTAAGCAGCTATTGGGTAAAAATTCCTTTCTTCTTTTAAATTCCAGAGAGCCTGTCATCATCGGTAGCAGAGGAGAGCCCTGAGCGGTGGGGCTATCCGAGTTTCGGGCGTTGTGCAGATAAAGGCCACGCTCTGAATAAAAGGGTGTGAATCTGTCTAAAGTCAACAGAGCTCCTCTCTGGTGTGTAACTGACAGGTCGCCATCTGATCTCAGAGCCCAGAGTGTGTTATCTAGTTTAAACTCTGCGGCCGTGAGGGCAAACAGGACGGGGGAAATCAGGAAGTGGAACACCAGGCGGGAGATGTTTCTCTGTGGTTCGTCCATGAAGCAGATAAAAAAGTTAATCATGCACCGTTGTGGATGTCTATTTAAATCGAGAG